AAGACTAGCGGAGATAATATGGATGATTGCAGTAAACTGTAAAAAAATGGATGCATATCAATATATCATCAGTACCCGAGACAAAAGAACAGCTCCTTCAGGAGCAAATCAAAATCCATTTTCGTTATTCAGACGAAGAATGTGCTCTTCAATGTTTTTATCTGCACCATTCAATTCTTTCGAATTAAGTGCCACAATTTGAGAGAGGCAGAATGGAAAAAGGTTGAATTAGTGTCAGCATTGTTTACCTAATGTTGGTGGATAAAACTAACAAAATAGAGAATATATTAACTACTTAAATCAATTTGAGGAATAGCATATGCCAGAAAAATTAAACCAATTCTAGAACATACCAAACGGAGGAGGAGGCAATAAATTGTGGTCAGTCTAGTAGACTTCAAATGAGACCTACATAATGAGAATTAGGATATAAAAATAGCAAAAATTAGCAAATATAGATGAACTCATAGAAGATAATCGGAGGAGATAAGAATTAGGAGGTAAAAATAGGTCTAGTTTTGTACCAGACCAGTCAACTGTTGAAGTTTCAAGGAGATGTGTGTGGTGGCTGAGCTCCTCTAGTGACGCTCTTCTTCTGACCGCAGGACGCCCAAAAATGGCTCACATCGTCAACCTGCTTAAGTGTGCCGATCTGTTCGAGGGTCGCAGGTGTGCACCGGTGCTGCCAACTGATGCCTTTTCCGATGGAGCGATTGATGTCTTCTTTGAGCGCGATTAGAACCTCGCTTGATGTCAGAGGCATGTTGGCTCCCAGCTAAAGCAAAGTGTTGTCCCAATCAGGTCGGTAGTGGTGTTCCTGCGACGGACGAAGTATATCGCCGGTCGTCCTGTGCTCGACGTTTTCCCGTGGAGGCCTATGATATCCTCCCAATCGTCATCTCTCTGTTGCAGACTTGCCAGAGCCGGAGATCCTCTATAGCTTGGGGGACAGGCCGGGCAGCCTGGATGAAATTCCTCTGCGGCGATTCAAAGTGGTTAGGGTTTTGTTTTGTTTTACCGCTTACAATTTACAAAACTCTAATACTACGTACTTCAAAAATGACGAGTAGTTATTAGCGTCAACTCTCAATATTAATCCCAATATTTTTTGATAAATTTTTAATAATTTTTTAGCGTTCACATGTTGACGCAAAAGATAAATTATTTGTGTTCACATGAGTCGACGCAAAAACTTTGGACGCAAATAATACTTTTTCTTGTAGTGATTTTCAATCATTTAAATTTGTGTTTTATTTGCAGTTGATGTTGCTTATCTTGGGACTCACAAATTCTTTGTCATTGGCTCTTCAAAAGAAAGATCAAGACATATTGAATGTTGTATCAATTGTGAAAACAACAAAGCAACAATTGCTTAAGGTAAGAGTTGATGGATGTGATTCTCATTTGAAGAAGATCTTAAAATTTTGTGAGAAACATGAAATTTATCTGCTTAATATGGATGAGGACTTTGTTAACCCAAGGAGGCCACGTCAAAGAACTAATATCACCAATCGGCACCATTATGAGTATGACCATTATGTATTTGCAAATTAATGAATTTGATGACCGTTTCAATGAGGTAAACCCTGGGCTACTTCTTTGCATGGCTTCTTTGAGTCCAATTGATTCCTTCCGTGAGTTTGATGCTTCAAAATTGTTGAAATTGGTTGAATTTTATCCAAGTGACTTCAGTTGTGTGGAACGCAGAACTCTTGAGCATCACGTCAGTATTTATATTGATAATGTGTTAACGGATGAAAGGTTTGCTAGATTGAAAAGTCTTGGATTGACTTTGCTTGTTGCCACTCGAGTGATGGTGGATACAAGGAAATATCTTTCACATCCTTTGGTGTATAAGCTTTTAAAGCTAGCATTGACTTTGCTTGTTGCCATAACAACCGTATAGAGATGTTTTTCCGCTATGAAAATAGTGAAGACTAATTTGCGTAATAGAATTGGTGATAAGTATTTGAGTGATTGTCTGATTTGTTTTATTGAAAGAGATGTGTTTGAAACTGTTACAAAAGAAACTGTAATGGATCTCTTCCAAAAGATGAAAACTCGGCGCGAACAATTGTGATGTATTTGGTAAGACTTTAATTATTGTTATATTACATTACTACTTTATTATTCTTTTTCTGATGCATTTTTTTCTGCCCCCAATAAGTTCTCATCCCGGATCCGCCACCGATTGCTCGACCATCCAAATATCCATATCTACTTATTACTCTCTAATTAATACTCTATATTTACACAAAATAAGCTGATTGTTTGATTTGACTATATATTGTTGAATGTTCTTTTGTTTCAATTATTGTGAATGAGTTGGAAAAAATTAAACCTTGTTTCATCTCAACAAAATTCCACTCCGTACTTAATAACATTAAATCTCATGATGAATCACACCAAATGGAAGTGAAACATGACCCAAGATCATGAATAATAATACTTGTTCTCATTCAAAAGTTCATATCCTCGAGTTCACTAAAGGCTTATATCATGATTAATTTTAGGCCTCATGAAATTATTCATACACAAAAACAGAATGAACAACCATATAATTAAATAAAATACATGTTATAATTTCATATTCAAATGTGTATTGTTGTGAATGAGTTGGAAATAATTGATAGAATGAACATTCTATAACTACGGAATGAGCAAATATAAAAGAAGGTTATAAAAATAGACTACCACTATAACATAACCTACAACTACACATGATGCTATTGTCGGGGTTGAACTTGTAACATGCTCTAATACCAATTGTCAGGATCAAGTGCTTACCACTACGCCAAAAGCCATAGTTGGTAGCGAAGGTGTAACTTTATTTCCTTATATTTGCGTGGCAGTCAAGCACCTCAAATCGATTGCACTGACATGCTGACACTGCATTCATGTGGCCCAATGATATTTGTAATAAGCTCATAATGTATTAAAACATGCATTTCATCATTTGAATGTGACATGTTCATGGTGGATCAAATTAAAATGTATAATATGTCTCCTGCCTATATCTTAATTATTGTTATTGAGTGGTTGAGTTATGATGATTCAATATTTCAACAAACATTTTATGCGCGTTAGAACCAGATGTATAACCTTCTTCCAACTAATTCATGGCATGCAACACTTTGTGTGTAAATCATGGGTTACTAGATTTGTTCTGATTTATATTATTTTCATCTTTATTTTTCAAAGCATGACCTAGCACCGGCGTTGGGAATATTGTGAATTGGCAATTTGGATCTGAAACAAACTTGCGAATACTTTTTGAAGTCTATATGAGGATGTTCAAGATTCTCATTGTAGAAGAAGGTTGGTGCATAAATTAAGCGTAGTTGATCATTTGTGCAATTCGTGCATGAGAGCGTGAGTGAAGAAGAATTGAATATTCAAGATTGATACAATCATGCAAGGTATGCCCAACACATGCAGTGTGCATCTCCGTGCTTAAGATGGAAGAAGTTTTTATATTTCTACCGTGCACACACAGTTGTGTAGACATTGTGTGCATCCTCGTGCGTAAAAAGGAATGATTTTACATATTGCTGTCAAATGCACATAGTCGTGCGTAAATGATTTTACATATTGCTGTCAAATGCATATATAGGGTTGGTGCGCACAGAGAAGAGCACATAGTGTGCATCACCGTGCACACGCTTGACCACAAGATAAATTCAACTACATATGCTCATCTTTGTGCAACACAATTTAGAGGATTTCCAGACTTAGGAATGCAAGATAGTCTCTCAAAGGCATGCACCTCAACTACATTTTTGATACCAAAATCAACATCATTGTCGCATACATGGCGATACACAACTACATAACAATGAAGTATATGACCCGCATGACTAAATCGATCCTCAAGATATATACTACATTCGAACAACGGAATATCAAGTCAAAGAAATGAAGATGTAGCTAGTTTGCACGAATGCTATTAATATTATAACATCGATTGAGATAAATGCTAACTTGAATTAATTTTTACTACTATGTTGCTAAAGCACAGTTTAAAACTTGCATGCATTAAATACTTATTTATGCTCAATTGCACGGTTAGTTTTTTTTTTGTGATGATTCGTCAATATCATGACATATTACTACTTATATAATAATATAATTGTGTAAAATTAAAGATGATAGTGATTTGGTAAGTACGTACATGTTTTTGTGTTAATGCGTTCAAACATTTCAAGAATATGGGTGTTGTTTACAATTATCTGGGCAATTGGTCCTACATAATTTTAAACGAAAATTATAATCTATTTATATTGATTAATAAAATTGAATTGTTTTAAATAATAAGTGATTTATTTGGATTATATTATTTAAGTGAGAAAATTCATATTGCTCTATCTTATCTAATACAAATAGGAATATTGTTTTCTAATAAAGAATGACTAGCTACGATATGCCTTTTTGATTAATTTACATAAAAAGTAGTTTGCAAAAGCAAGATATTCATAGCCTAAACAAATTTATTATTTCACGTGACAATGTCAATATCTAACCCTAGGCAGAATCACTTTTTTATAAGGCAAAACTTTTTGACTTTGTTTCTCCCTTGAAAATAGAAGCAGAAAAAAATTAATTCCAAACACCACATACTATTTTGTTATGGAGCAGAACACATAAGGTTTGCTTTAGGACTTTTTTTATGTAAGTATCTTCAATTGTACTGAAATTTTGATGAGAGAATTTGACTTTGTGCCAAATATTTTGAGTCATATTTGATTTTACACTCCATTTTCAAAATTATTAATGTATGCACTTCATGAGTCCAAAAAATGTGAAGAAGTGGAGTGCAAAGTCAAATATTTTTATAATGCATTGGAAATGCATACATTAATGATTTTGAAAATATAGTGCATCTGATTTTGAAAATATAGTGCAAAGTCAAATATGATGTATAAAGTCAAATTTTCCCAATTTTGATTTGGTTTAAATCATGTGAGAAACAATATTTTTACAAAAAAGTAAGCATCGAGAGAGTTAGCTCGAGTCTAATTAAATACTGCGTAACATGCATGGCAGTTATTTTACACTTCAAAGCTCAAAGAATATATTCTTTTACATTTCAAAGCTCAAACTTTTTTTTACCTCGGATGAATTTGCACTGAGTTTAAGAAAATATACAATTCTATAACATATTTCTGGGAGTTTAGACGTTTAGTACAATTCTGGTTTCATGTAATTCCGCCGGGATCTGCTCATCAAATTTCAAAACATCGAAGGGTGCAGACAAAGTGACAAACAATTGAGGTATGAATGACTTGTGCAGTCTTCCCATTTTCAAATGCAAGAAATGCAAATTTTATATTCACAATAAGAATAATTTAATATAAAGAGAGATAAAGAATGATAAGAATGTAATGGAAGTAAAAAATAAAAAAATAATGATGCTGTTTTTTGCTGCACTTTTTTTTGACAGTTTGCCTCTCTATGGAGCCATTGAAGGCTATATCTTATTGCACTTGCTGAGATTGATTCCAGCTAGAGACAAACAACGCCAATCGTCGATTTGGTTGCTCAGGTCGCCGGCGGCCTTGACTCACCCCGGAACTCCAAACCCTAACGGTCAGATTTTTTGATCAATATTTATCTAATCCATCCATATACGATTCAAGGCAAGTTGGATCAAGTTTACTCAATAATTTCCGCTCTTGAAATCGGTTTTTGGTTCATCGAGATTCCTTCTTTGCGTGGAATGGATCACAATTTCAGCTTTAATTCCCCTGCCACCGGCGGGCAGGTTCCATTTGGTCCAGCACCTTCACGGTTGACCAAACCGCGCTTCGTTAAGAAGAAACATACCGCAAGCAATCGCCCTATTACTTTTGAAAACGACCCAAGTTTCAACCCATTTCGCTCACATCCTCCCGAAGAGAAACCTGGTCTGGTGAATACCGGACCTATGGGTAGTACTAAAACTTCTGTTTCTGGGAATACGGGGGTTGTATTTGGATCTTCAAAAGCTAGCATTTATGGTAATCCATTTAGTTCTACATTATCTAGTGATCCATTACGTTTGAAGGCGAATGCAAACTTTCGTGGAATCATTGAGCCAGATAAAGCTCTTGTTGGTGACCTGAGAAACTTGAAGATTGCAAGTGATCATCAGCATATTAATGTGAGCCAAAATATGAATGTTAATGAAAGTAGTAATAAATCTGAGATGAGGGTGACAGACCAGTTACTTGCTTCTACATTGACCAAGGAGGTTGAAAATAAGTTGAAGATTAAAAGCGAGGGGGATACTGAAAGCTCACAGAAGAGTGAAATTGTTGATGGCGGTGTTGGAGGATTGAAACTTGTGAATGGAATGAACAAATTGAATATCAAAGAAGAGTCCACTGATAGGCTGAAAAGCCCTGCATACAGGAGAGTAGAATTAACCTCGGATGAAAACATTGTGCAGACAGGATTGCCAGCTCTTACAAAAACTGCAAATGAGTTGAAGACTGAAATTTTTAGTGGCAAGAATTCTATATTTTCTGGTAAAGTTCCTTCAGATATCACTTTCCAGGCAGAAAGGAGTGAGTTATTTAGTATTGGTGATCAAAGTAGTAGTACGTCCTCCTGTTCCTCCATCAATTACCCACCTGCAGCAGGTTGTTTTGAAGCTCCCTTTATGGATAAACCTGGAAAGAAGGTTGAGTTTAGTTTCAGTGGCATGATGCAACATGTAGACTGTAAAACACCTACTTTAAAAGGGAATTTAAATAGGAAACTTGAAACGAAAAGGGAGTTAACTAAAGATACCAAGTTGAAGAAAAAGAAAGGGAAACAAAGAAAACCGATTCCGATTCAGATGAATGTTGGACAAGGTTATTTTCCAGAAGAAAGTTCACAAGAAAATGTTGACTCATCTGAGTCCTATTCGCCAATGGATATTTCTCCATATCAAGAAACACCAGCAGATAGCTCCTTTTCAAGAGAAACTTCTGTGACTTCTGATGAGGCCTCAAGCTTGAATGATAAGTATGCATCAAGTGAGTCACGGCCGATGGATGTAAATGATATAGCAGATGTTGATCTTATTGATGCAACCGAACAGTTGAGTATTAATGGAAATAGCAATTCTAATTTTAATGAAAAGGAAAAAGCAGAACCTATGCCATTCCACCAAGGTGTTTGTGTTGAGGGGCCTTCTGAAGATACTATTTCTGGAGCTGAGACTGAAAGCTTTAGATCTGCTACTGATCAGTTCGATTGTAGCACAGATTCATTTTTAACTGCACAAGATAATGAAGTAAGTTCTGGTTCAACCACCGAGAGACAAGATACTATTGGGGAAACTCATACAAATTTAGAAGACACATGCCAATCCAGCTTTATATTTGCTGCCTCTTCTACTGCTCAATGTCACTCAACATCCGTAGCACGACATCAGAAGAAGAAAGTTCAATCAAAGCCTGGAAGTGATTTAAATAGTTCTTTCTCAAGTGCAAAAGTTCCACATTCATCCTTTTCTCGGAATCATTTTCAAGTTTCTGGGACATATTCATTACCCCTCAATAGAGGTATTAATGTTGACATACCTGTCATGTTGAACCAAAGCCAGGGTAAAAGTGAACCAGCTAACGAAAACGCGGTTAAGCAAGAAGCTAGGTCCGCTGCTGCTGAGAGCATGGCAGCTCAGGAATCTTGTGAAAAGTGGCGACTAAGGTTTGTTTTTCAATCTTTTTATTATTTTGATAAATATTTTTGTGGATCAAAGAAGCGAAAATGTTTTTGCTTTCTACGTTGTCTAATTGGTTGTTAGGTGATGCAGTATTGCATTAGTATGTGTCTGTGTGTGATCATATTTTTTTTATTATAAAATAATACACACACATCATATAATCTATACTATATTACTCTGTGTTTGTCACATTTGCTAATTAAATGCTATAATATTCACACTTATGACAGGGGGAATCAAGCCTATGCAAGTGGGGATTTGTCTAGAGCAGAAGACTGTTACACACAGGGAGTCAATTGTATATCTCACAATGAGACATCTAAAAGCGCTCTTCAGGCTTTGATGCTGTGCTACAGCAACCGTGCAGCAACAAGGATGTCTCTAAAAAGGATGACGGAGGCACTAGAGGATTGTTTGACAGCCATAAAAATGGATCCAAATTTCTTCAGGGCCCAAATTCGAGCTGCTAAGTAAGAACCATCTTCTGTTAGCATTTTAACAGGTTACTCCGTATATGATACTAATAATATATTACTCTTTTCCTTTCTTTTTAGTATTTCCTTTTGTGTCTCTTTATGATTTGAAATATTCTATTAGATGGTCAAATATCATTGTTATAGTGGGGACAACAAAATATTTCCTTGCCTAATGCCCTTTTTATTAGAGCAAAAAACATCTGCAGCACGTATTTTGTAACATCCTGACATATTTGGGAACACTTTAATTCATATTAATTTGGTCTAAAAATTATTCCTTAGCTTAGAATGCTTCTCTTATTTGCTTCATCTTCAAAATAACTTTATCCCAAATTTAAAGAAGACCGAGTGGTATCACATGAATCATTATGCAAAGCAATATAATGTGGTTGTTAAAAAAGGAATGGTATATACATGTGCAAGTGTATGTGCGTGCATACCATCACAAACTAGTGATCACATACTTCTTTTCCTCAAATTGCCTACTGTTATCTTATAATATTTCTTTTGTGGTGCTGGACAGTGTCATTACATCTGAGTATGAAGATGACATATGTTGTGTATGAAATATTACCAGGAGAATACTATGAAAATCCTGTCCCCCGATTTATTGTTTCACTTTTATTTTCAATATTTGTAGCTGTTACCTATCTCTGGGTGAAGCAGAAAATGCGTCTCAACATTTTATGAGGTGCTTGGATATCGGCAATAAGTCCTGTGCGGAAAGAAAGGTACTGGTGGAAGCTTCTGAGGGCCTAGAAAATGCAAAGGTATGTGATACTAGTATACTACTAATTTCTGGGCACCTAGACATGTCATTTTAGATCTATTCATGCATACTCCGTATTTAAGATTTTCCAGTCTTAATTGATTCTCAATTCTATAATTTATAGATATAATATCTTTGCACGAAATAGGGGCCATGTGATGGAGTAATAGTTTTTATGATTAAATTTATTTAATATTTTGTGCTGATACACTTTTTGTAATAGAAACATATATTATAATTTAAGAGTAGAAAGTTGTGGAGCACTGCTGAAGTGCTGAATGCTCATGCATGATTTTTATTCTTCTTCCTGACTGAAACTGATTTCCCATTGATGGTCCTCAATGCTACCAGTGAATGAAAACTCGCTTTGTTTCTTTTTGGTGCCAGAAAGTATCAGAATGCATGAAGCAATCTGTGACACTTCTAAGAAGTAGAACGCCTGATGATTTGGTCGGTGCCTTGGCTGTGATATCTGATGCTTTGATGATAAGCCCTTGGTCAGAAAAGCTACTCGAAATGAAAGTGGATGCTCTTTTCATGGTTTGTGTTTTTTATGAGTGAGACTGGAAATCTAATAGCTCTTGTTAATTAAGTTGATATTAAATTAGAGCAATTGGTTTAATCAGATGAATGAGTACGGAAGTCTAAAATCTTTTGTTAACTAAGTCAATATTAAATTAGTGCAATTGGATTCAGCTATATCTTTACTGGTTTTATTGACAGTTGGGAAGATATGAAGAGATAATTAAGTTATGTGAGTTGACTCTTTCTTCCGCCGAACTAAAGAGATTCCAATCAGATGTTAATTTGGGAATGTCGGGTGCTTCTAAGATACAGAAGACAACTTCGTTTAGGCTTTGGTGCTGTTCGATGACTGTCAAAGCCTATTTTTATTTGGGAAAGCTTGAGGAAGCTGCTGTATTTTTGAATAAAGAAGAGAAATCATTGCCTTTAAAGCAAAGGTAATGATGCAATAGTACCTTCATGGTGTAAAGATTTTAAGTTACGACATTAAGTGTCTGTCTATATCAATTCCCAATTACATCTTTCACCTCTTGGCAGTCTGTGCATTGGTGTTTGAGATTCATGATTTCATATATTATTGCTGTGTTTGAAATTCAGAGTTGATGTTGCAATTTACAGTGCATAGGTAACCACATGACTTGGATTTTCATGATTTTTTTTACCTTTGCAGAAGCGAGGATTTTACTTTAGAGTCCAGTATACCTCTGGCTGCCACAATACGTGAGCTCTTACGCTTCAAGGTGAGTTTCTTTTTTCTTCAAAATAGTTTCTGATCAATCGTGTACGTCTTTTGGTTTACTCTGATATGGCATTGTTGGAAATTTTGAATATCTCTGAATACATGGCATTTACTCTATAGTCTTGTATACTCATATTGAAGTCTATAAGCGATGTGGATTTTGGAGATGCTTGGCTATTTGCAAGTGTAAGACTATGGCCTCGGCTCCAATTTGGCGTGTCACACTGTCACCTAGATCATTCTGTACAGAATTGTTACCAGCATTTGGTTGAAGCATAAATAAACTCCTAAATAGTTAAACAGCTAACATTTAGTTTCAATTGAACTTGTCTGACTTACTTCTATGGCCAAGTGCAGAAATCTCGAAGTATCATACAAAGACTTTGTGAGATTTGAAATCTAGAGCAATCTATAATGTCATTAATGTGTTATTTGTAAGAGGTCATGTGATCATCATATTTATGTTATATTATTAGAGACGTCTATATCTTGAGAAAAAATCTCACACAAGTTGATGTCCTTTTTTGGAAGAGAATGCACATTTTCCCAACCAATGCCTACAGCAGGATGATCATTCCCAACCAATGATCATCATAAATTCCTCGATGCTCTTTAAGAGCTGTCTAAAATCTAATTACATGTTGTTTAGGACATTGGTGATATGGATCATGATTTTGAGGGGCATAGTCGCATAGGTGATAGGACTATTGGGTTACGTACCTTGAGATGATTTTTTTTACTTGGTCGAGAAGGGGGAAATGTTACTGCTGTGTAATTTAAAGATATTTGTTATATTCTGCTGCAGGCTTCGGGAAATGAAGCATTTCAGTCAGGAAAGCATGCAGAGGCTATTGAGCATTACAGTGCTGCTATATCGTGTAATGTTGAGTCACGGCCTTTTGCAGCCATTTGTTTTTGCAATCGTGCTGCTGCATACCGAGCCGTGGGCCAAATTTTGGATGCAATTGCAGATTGCAGCCTGTCTATAGCTCTTGATGGAAATTATGTAAAGGTGTGATACATAGTCTTCCCTTTGCAATATGATCCTCATATCAACTCAATTGGTTTTGATGCCTTGGTGGTGGTACTAGATGCATGTAATTATTGAGAATTTGACAAAAACATTCTTCAAGAAATATTAAATCTTGGGTTTTACATTATCTGAAAGCTGTCACCTGGCTTGTTGAGTTTTGTTGATGTTCTGTCTGTATTCATTCATTGCCAGTACTTATATGCAGGCAATATCCAGGCGAGCATCATTGCTTGAGATGATAAGGGATTTTGGACAAGCAGCTTCTGATCTTCGAAGACTTATTGACCTTCTCACAAGGCAATTGGAAAATAAGATAAACCAGTCAGATAAAAGTTTTATTGTGAATGAGCTCCGCCAAACAGAACAGAAGCTTTTGAGAATGGAGGACGAAGACAGAAAGGAGATTCCTATGAATATGTACCTTATACTGTAAGTTATAATTCCCACCCCCCAAGAAAAACTCTGCCACCTTTCTTTTTTTATCCATTCCAAATTAAATCCCATTTCTTTCCAAGGATAAAATTGTGGTTCCTGTTGTCTCTCCCTTCTAACTAAATCTTAATTACGCAGTTTCCGTTTTCTCAATCTTCATGTTAGTCAAATTTGTCAAAGTGTGTGGGAGGAATGAGTATATTTTGAGAACCACCATTTGAATATTTCAGATTATCTAATATTCCAAGGAAAAACAATTTTCAGTATCCTTAGTTTGCTTGTGGAAATGTTTCGTACCGTCAAGTGTGTATTTCAATATTGTAAATGGCCTCAAGCATATTTGTCATACCCCCTTGTAATCTGGAGAAGTTCACATTTCACCCTCTTTACATCTTGAGTATACAGCTTGACAATTAGGTTTCATCTCTTCTACACCACCATCACCCTACAGGAAATTTTCCAAAACAAATTGGGATGGAGGGAGTATATTTTTTAGAAAGTTATAATTTTATACTTTTGTAGTAGTATTTTTAACAAATATAGTACGGAGTACTAGTTTTAGCAAAGAACATTTTCATATCGGTTAAAGTTTAGCATCATTGACGGAAAAAGTCAAAGATGGCTAACTAAAAAGGGACGGAGAGTGAGATGTGGACAAGCATGTCTTTGATTTCATTTATGAACTCTTCTCTAACAATGGAATGAACTTGTGACATCTCAGGGGAGTTGACCCATCTGCTGCATCGTCAGAAATTAAGAAGGCCTATCGGAAAGCAGCACTCAAACATCACCCTGACAAGGTTCGTTTTATATGTGACCTTAACTGCTATGTCAGCATTAGTTTTTTATTGACTAATAACCTTAATTGTTTAGGCTGGACAATTGGTAGCTAAAAATGATAATACAGATGATGGAATTTGGAGAGGAATAGCAGAAGAGGTGCGTAGAGATGCTGACCGGCTTTTCAAAATGATTGGGGAGGCCTATGCACTGCTTTCAGATCCCGCCAAGGTATATTCTTTAGTAGACTTTGGTTGTGATCTTGAGATTCATTATTTTACCCACAGCAACTCTATTTTCTATTAAAATGAATGGCTACTGGAAAAAGTGGGAAAAATGGTTTCCATTCTTTTTCAGTTCTCTTTAGAGAATGTTGGCCGTTACTTTTAACCTATTAAAGCTTACACCCACTGCCCCACCCCCTAGAATTGAATCTATTTGTTTTTTAGAAAAATGTGTACTTTCAATGGAAAGTGGAGTATTGTTTGGTCGTGCTAAGGAGGGATCAAACACACGCTTTGGAAAGTGGTGTATTTTTGGTCATGCTTTAGACATGCTTTCGATTTATGCTTATTATCGTGTAGCGCTCACGATATGATCTTGAAGAAGAGATGAGGAACACTCAAAGTAGAGGAAATAGAGGTGGCAGCACCATGAACACACAAAGGGATCCTTCTCAAAACTACCCATTTGAGAAGAGTGGGAATAGATGGCAAAGAAGTGATGTTTGGAGAGCATACGGGAATTCTCAGCACAGAGAATCAGAAAGAAGTCATCGCTCAAACTGGTATTCATGATGAGGTTAAGTGCATAATTTTCTTGTGCAACTTAACACAAGGTGCCGGCAGAACATGCCCTAAATGCTTGTGGATTCCAAGGGTTGGTCTGATTTACACTTGTTGATCTACATCGTACATTCGTACATACTCATAAACTTGCCTGAAAGGTAGTTTTGCTTGTTTGGTGGCAACCTTGCAAACAATGCTTGCTTTGCTGCACGAGAAAGGGGTGGCTAAAGACAGAATCAGCACTGTTGTATAGAAGCTTTGTGTTTGTGAGAACTTTTATTCAATTGTTAATGTTATTGATTCATTTTGTATATATATGGTTTGTTATATTTGTTTCTAAGTGCCAAATGAGTGATTAGTCTGTGCCCTTTTCTATCATTTGTTTTTAAAGGAATCCAGTTGTCATTTGTTCTGTATCCATCTTCACATCTCTATCAAGATGCAAAAGCAAGGGGTTTAGGGTGTTTTGAGTTGGACGGATTTCAGTTTTACAGATTTAAATAGATTTAATCAAATTAGACCAAAACAGATTAGATTTAGACAATAACAAAATATACATCAAACAGACATTTATAAATCAGTCCCTTCTGGACCTCAAACAAGATGGTGACAGTTAAGTGAAAACATTCTTAATTCTTTGCTTATTTGTCGAGAAATGAGCTGGTTGTCTTCAAATCTTCAATGGAGATTTGTTTCTAGAAAATTAATAAATGGTTGAGCTAGATAATTTGCATTCCATAATAAAACAAAATTACCAAAATTGGTTCCGTTTGCTTGATGAAGTATAATAATTGCATTGATTCTTTAGGGTACACTTGGAATTCAGAAAATATAAAGAAAAGGAAAATAGGAAGAAACTTTAGAAGAAAATGTTGTGGATTAGTTCAAGTCGATAAGTTTAAATATGTGTTCTAATTCATTTCTTTTTACTTTATTTCTATTATATACTCCCTCCGTACCCCAATGAACTTCCCACTTTCCTTTTTTGGATGTCCCAGAAACAAGTTCTCATTTCCTTAAATGACAAGTTAATCTACATCAAAACAATGTCAAACAGTGCAAAACAGTGTCGAAACAGTACAAAACAGTGTCAAACAGTGTCAAAACAGTGTCGAAATAGTAAAATTTACCCCATGATAAGTTTATTTCCTTAATATGTATGTAAATCAAACTGTGAAGTTCATTATGGGACGGAGAGAGTAAATACTAAGAAATCAACTACATTTTGAAATATATAATCAACTAGATCATCGATAATTTTGATGTGACCAATCACTATTCGTTACTCCATCCAGCTACGATTTAATCATATTTTTTGTTATGTCTGTCATACTAATATTGTCTTATGTCAAATTTGAAAATATTTGTGTGGTAAATCATTCTTACTTTATCTTCATTTTATCAATTTAATATCATTTTATCTTCATTCTTACTTTCATTAATAATTACAAACCTCTATTTGTACTAATGTTAGAGGGACACACGTAGTGTTATCTAATGATTAAATGATATAGATCAATGATTGCATCTTATGAAATATAAAAGTGACTTTGTTATAAATATGTGAAATATGACTAGTTGCTAAATGATCGGTACTATAATTACTATCGTATTATATATACGGAGTATAATATATTTCACGAACATATGATTATGTAATAAACATATGCACATAAACTGAAACATTATTCATCTTCTATATTCTTGGCATTTTATAGAGGTAAAACATTTTCTTTCCATTCCCCAGCATTTTGCAGGATGGAAAGCATTTCCAAGATTCAAACGAAATCCAAACATAGCCATAGAATTGTGAAAAAACGACTTCCTCAAACAATTGCATGCTTTCTAATTTTGTAGGCAAAACATTATTCCGTAGTATCCAACTATCCATAGCTTTTTTTGCTAGAAAACATTTCCATAACAAGTTATTTACCATAAACAGAGGACCTTAATATGGAAATATGATGCTGAGTTTCTCAATTAAGTTGATCTTCTTAAAATAGTTACAAGATCAAACTAGGGAAACTGCCAAGTCGGAGGAGAACAGGGGTATGTTTTGGCGGGAGAAATGGCGTCATTTCCGATGTCAAGTCACTTTGCAAGCTCCCAAGTCTGCAAGGTGCAAAAAATGATCTTTTCTATTTATTTATCTTTAGATACAGTAATAACAAATAGGAAGTTTTGTAGAACTTGCACAATGGGTACTCACAACTCTCTCTGTCTAGTACACGTCTCCGCAATGTCACCCATAAATGCCAAAACCAATTTCTTTAGGATTTGTCTCAACCATCCATGGAGCCCTATAATGAAGAGAAAAAGAGTCAATTCACTACTTAAAGGAACCACATAATAATTGAAGGAAAAGAAAAGTGTGTTTGAATTAGGCAGAGTCATTACTTATGCATAACAAAATTGATGGTCCCTAGAGCAGCACGCCTTAGGAGGATTTCCCTCATCTCGATAGCGATTCCTTCAGGCTATATAAACCAAACATGTATTGTAAGTGTGGGTAGGATCTTATGTTCTCTTCTTGATACGTTACCTACATATACTGTAAGAGCAATGGTCCCTTGCAGATCTTATAATACCTCTTCTGGAAACCAAACACCGGATTTTGTGCTTCCTTCGAGAATTGCCAGCGCAAATGCAGCTGTCGCGTTTCCCACTGACCTGTGAAGTGCACGAATTGCAACATCTCAACTTGTCATTCTCAAAAAAATAAAAATTGCACAATTAAGCGCTAAACTCTGGCAAGTTGAAGTAGTGAGAAAAAATGTAGTGCTTACTGACCAATTCAAACCAGTAAAACATATAGTGCATTCTGACCAAAGACTCAATGTCTCAACCCAAGGGAAGTAAGAATGAAACTTAAAGATATGTATTCTTTCAAATCAAGGATTATGACACACCATGAGAACAAAAAATGGAAGTTTATACTCCCTCCGGTTCTTATTTAAGTTCCCAGGTTGACTTCACACATATTAAGAAAATGAATTTGATTTTACTGTGGAGTGCACTGTTTGGCACTGTTTGGCACTGCTTGGACACTATTTGGCACTGTTTGGCACTGTTTTGCATTGTTTTGTTTCCTAAAATGGAAGTGTGAACTTAAATAAGGGACATCCCAAAAAGGAAAGTGGGAACTTTAATAAGAACCGGAGGAAGTAATAGTTATAGACTAACAAAAAAGGATCGACTTTAAAAGGGATGTCCAGAATTGGAAAAAGGCTAGTTAGATGACCAAAAGTGGAACTTTTCTCTAGATAAGACTGATGGTATACTCTAACAGAAACTGATGCAGATTTTTTTATAAACCTGGAGAGACTTCTGTGACTAAATAAACCTATTCTGTGGCGCCCATCTGAACATTCTAGATCAACCTGTATCAAGAAGGCAACCACTAAAGTGACTAAACATATAATCTATGAGTTGCTAGAATCTATAGCCAAGCCAAAAGCAGGCAGTTTACCCTCATTGACACTCTCTCTCCAGATATCTGATCGACAACCCGAACAAGTGGATCAAATAATTGGACTAGCTGTTGAACCTTTCTTCTGTCTCTCAAAAATTCCTGTAAAGAAAATTATTAAAACAGAAAATGGTTACCATATATTATGGAGTAATATGCAATTGTAGCACACAAGATAAAACAAAGTTGAGCAGTAATTTAACTATTTAAGCCAATAATTAATTCCACATAAATATCAAAACCATTACTACCTGCGTCCGAAAAAACAACTTCCCACTTTCCTTATATGAGTGTCCCAAAATAAAAGTTCACATTTGCATAAAAATAACTTTTCAATAACAAATGTCACAACTACCCTTACTTTTTACTTATTTTTTACTTGATTTACATTAAGTAGGGGTATAACTAGAAATTCAACGAAAAACTGTATCTTGCATAAATGTGTGTGTAGGTCAAACTGTGAAGTTGTTTCGGGACTGAGGGAGTAGGAGTTCTACATAACTTTACACTAAGTTTGGGAAGAAAGAAAATAAGAAGGTAAAATTGGAAAGGAAAGAAAATAAGTATGGAAAAGAAAATAATTATCATTCTTCACCCTCCTATTTCTCTCAAAATGGAAGGGAAAATCCCTGTTCATTATAAAAATTAACTTAATGTCCGACAATCTTAAATTTGATACTTGTTTTGTGTGAATATATATTTAACAAGATCTGGAGTTCCATCCTAAAAGGTCAACGTGATAGGAGGAGTAGTCCACATCTTAATATAACACTTAATGCCTTCACAAATATCCGGTGTGGGAATTCAACACCCCTCCTCACAACCAGAAACTTCGTCTGGATCGTGCCGTCATTCATTTTTTTCATCAGTTCGTTATTGTCATTTTTTTAATAATCGTGTCAATCATTTTTCATAAGGGGCCCACATCATGGATCGATTTGGCTCTGATACCATGTTAAGATCTGGAGTTCCATCCTAGAAGGTTAACCTGATAGGAGGAGTAGTCCACATCTTAATATAGGACTTAATGCCTTCACAAATATCTGGTGTGGGAATTCAACATATTTGAAGTTCAAAAGCCTAAAGCGTACATTTATAACATTATAGCTTTATTTTCCCTCCTTTATGATTTACCACAATTCAAACACAAGATGTGATGATAAAAAACGAAAGTGAAATTTATTTTTCAATCATTCTCCTCTCTTCCTCAGGCAAATTCAAGTAGTGTTGGTGCCCTCTTCCTGGGAAGCATGAAAAAATCTTTTTGTGGGAGCATTCAAGCACCCATAATGAATCAATATGGAGTGTAGCAACTAACAAAGCATCATACTGCTGGAAGTAAATTTGTCATGGCTGCCATTCCCCAATTCCAAAAAAATGGATCAGTTCCAAACCGAGCACTGACAGTTGGTACTTTAAGCATTTCATGTGTACTTCTCACTTCAGGCAAATTTCTGCAATTAAAAAAGGTTATACGATTAAATATTAAAGAAATATATATATTAAAGACTAAACTATTCTAATTTGACCAAACTATAAACCATATGCTGCGGACCCCAACATAGTTAGGATTAATGGGATCGTGATATGGAAATGATTATGATTTAAGAGAATCTGGAAGTGGAATAAGAATAACTAGAGTACTCATTTGGAAATGAGAATAGTTTTGGGCAATGTCTGGAACTCATAGAATGGCAGGGAAAGGAAAACCAATGCCATGGAGAATAGTTTCTTAATGTTTGGTTATACAGCCGACCAAGTGTGAAAGAAAATTCAAGTTTGATGTTTTTTTTTAAAATACATATACTAGATAACACAGTCTTTATAAACTCTATAATAGAAATATTTAAATCAAATAAATCCAAAATAATATGTAAAGTTGATTTATTAAATCAATCGAATTTTATTTCATTCCAAATTTCCAAATCTACTTTCCATCTTATTCACTTTCCCTAGCATTTCCTGGAACTTCTATACGGACACTTGGGCATTATTGAAAAGTTTTCTTCTACAAATACTTACATAAGGAAAACATCTTTTCTCCCAACACCTTTTCCAAAGTCAATGCTTCGCATTCCACTGTAAGGCTTCAATTTGATTTCAGTCCCTGTTATGATAACCCAACATTTTCATAAGTTCCAATACAAGTTTGGATGAGTTAGGCAGGGGCTGCAGGGCTAAAAAATATGGATGCATCTTGAAAAGACACCTTTATTGTATGCAACTACTTCTTCTCCAAGTAGCAGAAAGCTAGTAGCTAAAATTGTTGGGCCAGCACCACCTGAGCCAGCAGTATAGTAAGAGAACCTGAAAAATGGCATATTGGAGTAAAAAATCCCATGAAGCATGTACTCATCATAGAGAGACTACAATAAATGTAAAAAACACTCCTCCAATTTAACATGTGAGTTTGACTTGCACAGTGTTTAAAAAAAAGTAAACTGTATGGTTGAATAGAAAGAAATAATGTGAACCACATAATGCTTTTGGGAAAAGGATATGTGGATAATTCTGACGGACAGAAAAGGGAAGTGTAGGGATAATTAAGGGAGGAGGGAGCCAGATTTAGTAATTTTTTAAAAACAAAAAGATGAAAAACAGGTAATATAGAAGTGCAAAGGGAAGAATTTACCTCAGCTTCTCTGGCTTACTTTTGTTCTCACTGTTTGCAACACGAACAAGCTCTGCTGCCATCACTGCCATTATAGACTTACAGTGGTAAAAGGTTTCAATTCTAATACTTTGATGGAAATTGTGATGTGTTTTACAACATTAAAAACATGCAATGTTAACCAGGCGGGATCGTGTCAAAACCAGTGTTTATCATACAAAATTCAGATTGCACGACAAATATTTAGGATCTTAATTTAAAACCAATATTTATCCTAAATTTGGAAATGTATAAATGTATGAAGAATTGAAGAGTCCTCTGATGCATATGATTTCTGAATTTGGAAAGGAGTAAAGACCAATGTGATTAAAATAGAAGCTTTTTAAATCATAGATATGCACTTCCGTATTGCCAGATAAATTTAAACAAGAACCATATAGTACCATTACTCACTCCGGGATAGATGCCACCAGTTACTATTGCAGGGACACTGGCAGCCAGGGCATCATTCATGTAGGATTTCGCATGAAATGCATATCTTGTATCATCACAAACATCAAGATATGCAGTCTGTTTAAATAAATAGTTTGGAAAAGTTCAGGTCATAGATCTTGTACATGTAACAATCATCATGTGAAAGTGCTGGAAGCTGGAAAGAACTGTTGCAGGTTACCTTTCCCTCACCTTGGTCTGAATGGAAGCTTCAAGAACATTGTAGTTCTCTGCCTGCTGGAAAGGTCCAGCAGCATGAACGACAAGGTCCACATCTGCACATCAGATAGATACTAATAGGCAGTCAAGCATTTTGTTGGGCGTGAAGTTTTGAAATTTGAAAAATTCAGAGGAATGTGAGATACCTTTCATCACTGCTTCCAAGGATACTTTGTCATCTATATTCACTTCAGCAAATTCTGAGTTCTTACCTAGTTTTGCCACCATAGAAGTACCTTTTTCCCTGTTGCACAAGTACACAACAACATAGGAGCAACTATTTTATCATTTAGGGTCGTTTTAGAAGATGCAAAGAAGGAAAGTATAGGGAAGTTTGAAAGGAAAGAATCTGGGGGGGATCAGTTCACACTCATCAAGTCATCAGTGGATTCATTTTAGATATTACACCGAACCTATAAAGACTGTAAAATCTTTTAAATGTTTGTTGATTGTTGATCTATTTATAGTAGTACTATAAAACCTGAAAAATCTAAAATTTTCAAAATTGTTGATATATTTATACTATAAAATTTTGGAAAAGTAAAACCAAATATTAACAAATTCATTTCCCTACCATTTTCAAGACACCAAACATATCCTTAAAACTCCCAAGAAAGTTGAAGATGTGAAAGTCTTCTTCAGTACCAAGCCTTATAGCTCTCCAAAACACTTCTTAGCTAGTTCTAAACAGCACAAGATTTATGTGATATTTAGTGAACGAAAGTGTTCTATGTGTGCAGAAAAACATATTTAGCCACACCTACTGCCTCGAATATGCCCAAACATCGTGTAGCAAATACTATCGTATGCAAGATTGATAGTTGATTTAGCTCCAGGTTATGAATAATAATGGCTTAATTGTACATTTAATATGTGTTTTTTTTAATATGTGTGTATATATGAATATATGATAAATAATTACTTCCTCTAAAATTCTTGAAACACAGACAAATTGAAGTTCCCAAACAATCAGGTGAATGGAGTAACCTATTCCGGCCGCCGACGATGATATGGAGGTCAGGACATAGCGTAGAGAGAGCAATGGCGGTGGACCCACCGACCCTTCCGGTCCCGCCTATTATCAGAACTCTTGAGCTTTTTGCCTTCTCTTTGAGCTCAACTCTCTCGTTCGCAGAAGTATCTTTGATAGACGCAAAGGGTATAACGGTCATTCTGGTGTTACTCCAGGTCAAGCAGCTCAGACCTGCCATTCCGGCGGAGAAGAACGGGAAGAGCAGACCTCTCGCCGAGTCTCCGACCACTGATGATCTGATGATCCATGCTGACGTGGCGGTAACAAAGGGAAAGGACCGAGTACTGAGGGCGGCTTCATTATTTTTTATTTCTTTTATTGTTATAAATTGTAATAATTTTTTTATTTATTATCTTTATAAATTTTATATTAATTTTTTTTATTTTTCATTATCTATCAAATGAGACCAATATTGCTTATGTAATTTTAACAAATTATGGAACTATTATATAAATGATTATTGGATTATAAGGAAACCAAACTAAATTTAATACAGAAAAATAATTGTGTAAATCACAATTTATCTTAAAATTGTGTATATAAAAAAATTATTGTATTAGGTATTTATACATGCGAGTTACATATTTTTATATGTGAAGTTACATATTTTTACACGTACAGTTACATATTTCTACACACGAGTTACATATATATACACACGAGTTGCATTTGACCTGCCTAGGCGAGTTACATATATTTACAAGTCAAGTTACATATTTTTATACATAAAGTTACATATTTATACACGCGAGTTACATATTTATACACATGAGTTGAATTTGACCTGTCTGAACGCGAGTTACATATTTTTTTACGTAAAGTTACATATTTTTACACGTAGAGTTACATATTTATACATATGAGTTGCATTTGGCCTGACTGAACGTGAGTTACATATTTTAACACGTAAAGTTACATATTTTTACACGTAAATGTTAATATGTTCAAATTACATAGGCAATATTGGTCTTACTTGAAAGATCATGAAAAATAAAAAATTTTGATATAGATTTTATAAAAATCGGATCAAAAAAAAGTTATTAACATTTTTAAGAAAAAGAGAAATAAAAAATATCAAACTCCACCCACTACAATTTGGGATGGTATACCATGCGCACCATGGAACGGTTGCATGGTATCCAATCTCTATGCGCACCATGGAAGCAGAGTTCATAGAATTTAATAATTTAGTAAGCTACGACTTTAAATCTGATTATTTCAGTTATATTCCATTATATTTGTTAATAGCGTGGTTAAAAGTTAGGGCTCGTATTAAGTCTTGAACGGCCCCTCAAATTTTCAAGGTTCACCCTGGTAAAAGGTAAGTGGGAAGAGTTTCAAGGGACAAAGGGAATACATAAAATAGGAAGTATGAATTACGGGATATTACATATACTATTATGTCTTAAAAAGATTCTTCATATTGACTTTTATTGGTCACTCATAGCAAACTTACGGGACATCTATATAGAGTAATCTCCCGGTTAGGCCTTCCTGACCAGAACCGTCGTCCGTACAGCGGCTTTTGGGGCCCTTCAGGGTGGAACTTTTCGATGAAATATTTTGAAAATGTTCTTCATCAAGTCTACTTTATCCATACAAAAATTCAGCTAAAAATTCAATCGGGAAGGCAGCCAAATAAATTTTGGAAGATAAATGCGTCAAAATATACATATAAAAACACAGGTATCTTCCCAAAATCGTTTGAGTGTCTACCTGATTGAATTTTTAGCTGAAATGTTTTGCGGATAAACTAGACTTAATGGAGAACATGCCCAGGAAATTTTATCAAAACGTTCCACCGGGAAGGCAGCCAAATGCCGCCGTCTGGACGGCGGTTCATGTCCGGATTTCTGTACATGAACTTTAATATGTATGCGCGCGTGTATGTAGATATGGAGTGAAAGAAAATTGAAGATCAAGCGGATAAGCGGGGGCGGTACATATATACGGTAGCTGACCCAAAACTTTTCTGAAGCGGGGGCACTCCACATAGATGGAAATGGGTCAGGTCGGGTCAAATCGGGTTTATCGTTAGTCTTTTTATCAAGTGCGTTCAGATTATTATTTTTAACTGGAAATAGATTATTCAATGTCGGCTTCGAGCAATGAACATATATGGATTATAAGTCTAATTTTGAACTTATTAAGACAATTCTAAGCAATATATATGGCTTTTTGAAATAAAGATATAATTTGGATCAGAAATGATTCATCTTTGCACCGTTTCTGATTTTACATTAGAATTCACATTATTTTTCATACTATAAAATGATCAAGATTTCATATCTGAACTAGAATCATGTCGAATGTTACACATTGTGCCACAAAATTTGTTGGTACTTGTGTGGAATATAATACTATCGTGTTAAAAATGAAGTATAAATCATGTTCATGATTTCATCCTTTAATACAACTTTATTTAATAATATATATGATTCTATATATCTAACATTTATCATATTATAGATAAAAAATTCAAAGAGTTTGTTGGTTTGAAACTAATTTATCGTGAATTGACACATTTTTTCATGTATGGACTTTTATTCAAGATAAAAGTCTTCAATCTATTAAGTTCATCCTACATATTATAACACTTGTCATATTTTTGACATTTAACTTTGTACAAACATTATTTACACTAAGTAAGAAAATCATCAATGTCACTTTTCAAAGAAAGTGTAGTAACCATATCAACCATACGTCTAACTATAAGGATTTGCTCCATAACAACTTCGTGGTTGTTTATAATTTATACTACAATATCTTACTACAATGGTTATGTCTTCGATGGAGTCTTATATAGCTTAGAGTTTTTTTTTTGAAATAATGACAATATGATTATTGAAATAAAGATAGTGGACAACAATAAGACTTTGTAACTACAATTGTAATTTTAGTGACCATGATTGTGTTCAATCTATCAATATAGTGACCATGCATAGTAATTATAGTAATATTTATGTCCATTAGTTCTACTTTGGTAATATTATGAAATAATCTCTAATTTTTTTGACCGGATAGCAGAAACACAATTTTTACTTTTAAGTACTAATCTAAAACTCCGGGGTCGGAAGCGGGGCACTTGTACGTTTTTTGGGTGGCGGGAAAGAAAATCTCAATGAAGAATGAGTAAAAGTTAACTAGAAAAATCTCAATTATTGAAAGTTGTCATCACTATTTTCCAATACTATACAAAAACTTGAGTAAAAAATATTATTGAGAAATTAAAGGATATGATACTTTGTTTATGCTAAGAAGTTAAACCATGTACGACGTATACATATTATGATACTTTGTTTATTAAAAGTTCAAAGTTCCAATTTAAATAAATGATACTTTGCTTATTATTAAGAGAAAATTCCCTAAATGGGACTAAAATAATGACAAAATGCAAAATTAGGACCATCATGTTTTTTGGACGTTTTTAGGATTAAAATTTAGCAGTTTGACAAAATTAGCCCTCCAGGTTCCCGTCGTATCGCAGAGATGCGCGGAAGTCATCCTCCAGGAACCACAATGATGCGACAACCATCCTCCAGGAACCATAGTTGTTGCCATCCTTCGTCCATACCACCTCCGCTATTGGCAAGTCCCTTCTCCTCCTTCTTCACTACTTTCTTCTTCCTGCTCCATCTTATTTCTGGCTCTCTGTTTTTTTTTTGTTTAGTCTATTACTTTGATTACTTTCAAAATTCTAAATAAAATTTTTGATTTTGAAATTTCAAATTAAGAGTCAAATTTCTATGAAACAACCAGTGAAAGAAATGATTAATTTCACTTTTTGGATCTGAGAATGCCACTTTTATGTCATCTTTTTATAGGATGATTGCATAATTTCCTATGAAAATGTCACAACTATCAATGTGAAAATGCCATCTTTTTACAATAGAAAATGTCATCTTTTTACAGTAAAAAAAGTCATCTTTTATACGAAAGTGTCATTTTATGTCAAACTGAGATTGCCATCTTTATAAGCATACTGTCATAAAAGTGACATTTTTTTCAAATAACCAATAAGTTTGACATTCTCAGATTCAAGAAGTGTCATTTTCTGGGAATCTGCATTCTGAGGTTCAAAATTGCTAAATTAATTAAAATTTAAATCCAGAAATATTAAAATACAGAGGACCTAGAAGAAGATGAGAAAAGGAAGAAAAGAAAAAGAAGAAAAAGAACAAGGAGGAGAAGAAGAAGAGATACGAAGGAAAAGAACTAATTACCTACTATTGATTTGGCGGTCGAAATCAACGAAATCAGACGGTGACAATAGATGCCATACCGGCGGCAAAGGGAGGCAACAAAGGGAGGCGGCGAAGGGAGACGACGATGGTAGGAGCAAAACCAACGAAGAGATGTTTTGGTAGTCTGGTGCGCACTTGAGCTTCGATGATGGAGTTGAGTTGCGATCGATGACAGAGGAATACCTGACTTTGATGAGCAAAGGATTGGAGATTTAATTATATAAGGGTATAATGGTAATGTTTAGTCCTATTTAGAGAATATAAAACATGAAGTCTTATTTTGAAATTTTAATCATGTTTTAATCCTATTTAGGGCAATTCTTTCTATTATTAAAGTTCAAAGTTCCCATTTTTAATTTAATCCGGGAATGTTTCTGTTAAGGTATCAATTATCATATGATAGTATTAATAATAAGTTAATAACGGTTGGGAAACATATTTAAAAGATCAATTGCAGATACATATGCAAAAAATGTAACGATTTTCATACTCCGTCCGGACAAAAATCTAAAAGCAATTTTCAAATTCTTCTGTATAACGTGGAGATACTTCCCTCTCTATAGTCTATATACAGGCTATTCATGAATATTGATAACTAATGCCTGAATGCATTACTCCGTATATATCATTGCTACAATTATACTTCTGCCTTCCTTTTAATCGCAACAATCCACTTTTTAACGCACAAGTTTAATCATTGATATCTTTCATTCCGTATTTCCGTATTTGAAAAAAATAAAAATTCAGATTTTGAAAATTTAAAATAGAAGAATTTAAAAAACTTTTTTTGAAAATTTAATTTATAATACATTAATAAATAAAATATAGTCAAAGTAAAATATATGAATAGTGTAAAAAGTTCAACGTTGCAATTAAAAGAGAACGAATGTAAAACTACCTCCGTCCCCCTAAGTTTGGGACAAAGGGGTGTTGTGTGGTTTTTAAAAAAAAAGTAGAATTGTGTAGTTGGTATTGAATTGATAAAGTGTGAATAAAGTAAGAATGAATTCTAACCACTCAAATATTGCCAAATATGGTATGAGACAAACGTAATGAGACGGACGAAAAGGTAAAACAGGACAAAGTTAGGGGGACAGAGGGAGTATAATTTAAGAAAAAAATACAAGAATTCTTATTCAATTCCTTCAATGAGTATCGTCATCAAGAATATTTATACGTTTCTTAACTAATTACTTGTGATTCTTGACCTTTAAATTGGGGCAAAAGAAATGAAATTAACAAAATTAATTTTCAAAACTGCATATGATGAGATTTGCAGAAATGATAGCACATACTTCTAATTGTGTTACATATACTCCGATCCCTAAATTTTAAGACAAACCCAGACCTGAAAATATTGTATATAGCACTTTACAAGTATACAATATAATAACTATAATTAAATAGCTTATGGCCAATATTTGCTATAGCCTCCAACGATGAGTCCGGTAAGGTTATTCGGAGCCCCATATTGATATGGTTCAACATCCCATCCCGTAGGCTTTATATCCTCTATTCTCATACTTTCCTGCAGATTCTTCATAATCCCACAGTAATAATTATTATCATCTTCTTCTTCTTCCTTGTTGCTCTCAGCTATGTCACTGGCTGACCCGAAGATATCATCATCATCAAAATCGTCGACTTTGACTTTATCATCAGATCCATCACCATCAATATTTTCATCATCATCATCATCGGGCTGTAAAGAAGGTGAAATTCCGGGATAACTCGTCGGAGGGACGTCGGAGAGCTTGAACTTGGCGGCATAAAACATGGCCTTACAATAGTTGAAGGCTTCTTCCGCCGCCGCATCGTCCCACTGCATGATTTTATCGTCGAGATGAACGTACTTCTTGGCTTCAAGAAACTTAGTCCATGAACGGTAGAAGCCGCCGGTGGCTTGCAGGCAAAACTCCCTCTCCCACGGTTGGGGAACCACCGGCCGCCACACCAGTTTCTGATTCCTCATTATCGGCACTAGATCACTTTTTGTTGGTAGGGTTGAAGAGCGTATATGACGGTGGCGGTGCTTGGGGAACGTCCTTATTTATAGTTAAGCAATTCAATAATGATTGAGTGAGTGACAAGAATGCAGGATACTAAATTCAACGTACAATGCATTTTTAGGAAACTTAATAACTTTCCGGAAATATAGCAACCTATAGGAAGGAATAGGATAAATCAAAAAATATGTTTGTACTCACTTTGTATCCAGCCCTCTATTTTACATGTGCATACAGGCAATTCGTTAAAAAGAAGACAATATTTTGTCTTTATTTGACTATGTACACAGATAAAATAAGAAGGTGAATACAAATATGTGTACAAAAATGGGTACATCAAGCGAGACTCACAACAAATTGTTGCCCTCATTTTTTTATTGCCAAATATATACTTCCTAATATCCTATTATTATAGCATATTCTTTAGAGAATTGTAGCCTATTTATTCATATTTCACAACAACCCTAACAAGATAACAACGTAAGATTTCAAGAAATTGTCCTTAATAGGACTAAAACATATAGAGTACCATTTTTCGCATTTGATCTTTAGAACATTGACAATTTCAAAAACAATTTCAAAAAGTATATACTTTTTGCGAGAGACAATTTGTGACCGACATCGAATATGTTCACAATACATATACTAATAATGACCAGATTTTTATATGGTCGCGGATATGATGTATTAAAATCGATTACTTTTTTTAGGGACCATCACAATTTCTCTTCGCTATTTCCACAACCTACTTCGGTCCCTAAAAATTCCCTAAAAAATACTAGTGGTAAATTTCCTTTCCGCTATGAGTTCGTGATCAACATTATAATTAAATCTAAGAAAAATTTGAGATCTCTGATATCATTATACAATTATAAAAATCAAAGCGACTTTCTAATTACTCCCTCCGTCCCGAAAAGGTTCACCAAATTGACTTTTCTCGATCAATGGCAATAAACTTTGACCAATTATATTTTGTAATGCAGAATTATTTTGAATATGAAATTTATATCAAAATGTTCCTTATTCGAAATATTTTCATAAAAGTATAAAATTTATAAATTATATATAAATATAATAATTAAAAGGTAGATTCTATGGTACCCATAAGGTACCATACCTTTGTCGGGCATAAGTTACCCTATAATAATTAAAAGGTAGATTATAGATTCGAGGAACCGATAAAAGTAAGAACCGAACCGTTTAGTATTAGTTCGGTTCCATAACGGTTCTTGATTTTTTACACAAGATCCGAACCGATTTCATTAGTTAAAATTTTTGTGACGGTTCCAGCAATTTTGAGAAAGAACCGAACCGGTCTCAGGCCTACTTTGTCCACATGGACCAATGAAAGTGTTGCAGTTAAATTATTTAAGTCTAAATTAAAAATGATATACCTATTTGGACCAATCAAATAATGAATGGTAGGTACGGTATCCCATTTTTTAAAAAGGTACCGGAGTTGTCACCTAATTAAAATCGTTGTCCAAAATTTATCATCATTGACCAAGAAAAGTCAATATGGTAAACTTTTTCGGGATAGAGGTAGTAGTATAATGTAGCCTCAAGTATATCGCGCACATTACTTCGCTCTGTAATAATTACAAGCCAAGATCGATGGGTAGAAATATATAACGGCACCCGACACCTGATCGAATATAACATACGTAGTTAATTAGCTAGTCGGATCTCACTTAGTTAGATTGACTTTCTATAAATAGTGTGTAAATTAGGGATGGACTCGGGTCGGGTCAACGGGCCTTTAATCGGCCCGACCCAGTACTGTTTCGGCCTGGCCCGGTCCGATACCCGGATCCGTGCCCGGTTCAGGACACCCGACCTGGTACTGTTTCGGGGCGGGCTCCGGGTCTCAAAAACGTGAACCAGCCCGACCGGATTGGGTCCGCTTCGGACCAAATTTAATTTTTTAATTTGTTTTTCAAATTCTTTAAAAGGTAAATGGGTTGGGTTGGGTGTTTTGGAGGGGTTTGGGGTGGGGGGTGAGGGGTAGGAAGTAATTAGAAAATAAAAAAAAAAAGTGTCCGACCCGAACTGGCCCAACCCGGCCAGGGCCAGAAGAAACCAAAAAAAGCCTGATCCGGCCCGAGTCCAAGCCTAGTGTAAATCACCATTAATGTAATCTGTAAAAAATCATAACGAAAGTTCTTATTTTCACTGAATTCTATTTCTTCAATATGGCATATAAGAGACTAAACAACTTTTTGTTTATGCATCGCTCCTTAATTACTGTTCTGAGATTTCTTCATTTCTTCCATCAACAATGGGTGATCCTAATTAGAATTCACATCCAAATAAACTCTTAGATCACCACCTAATCAATTAGGCATCATATCCTTTATCCTTACATGGAAAAAATCTAGTCCTACATCTAGTCACGCCATTTCTCGATGATAAAAACTTTCAGCAATGGAAGATCAATTTGTTCTCGATGATAACAACTTATACCTAATGAGTCTATCTAATTCTTGTTTAATAACTCAGCTATCTTGTAAAATTAGTTATAAAAATCATAAAGTAAAATGAAAGAAATTTATAAAGTGATATTAGCTTAAACGCCTTAGGCACAATGTTAATGTTTTCTTTTTTTACTATTACAATGCATAAATTCTTTTCTTAGGAATGTCATCTTTATGATTGTAGTTAGGACTCTTAAAAATCTAATGATCACAGGTCGTCCTAGATGTTTTCAAATGACCACAGTTGATTGAATGTAGGGATTAAAAAAATATCATAGAACTAATCAATGTTGTGCTTGATAAAATGACCGAATAAAAACGTGTATAATGTGTTCTAGCTTTGAAATGAGATGTAAGATTACATTGGTACTTAAAAACCAAAAGGTTTTTTGATTATTAGAAGTGTTATTTAATTTTTGAAAAACTGTCAAGGTCTAAAATGGTGTTGACTTTTGATGAATATTTCCCGCACAAGGTACCTGTGGATCTAGCGGTTCAGGGCGAGGGATGGGGCAGGTGGAATAGTAGGGCGAGATGGGGTGGGGGTGGTGGCTTTTTTAGACACAAGGCAGGGATGGGGAAGTGAACCCCCACTCCAACCCTAAATAAAATAAAAGGGGATTTCGAATCCCCTTATTTAAAAATAAAAAACAAAACATCACATCACATTTGGAACAAGCCATTGCAACTAGGAACCCTAAACAATTCCCCCTATTTTTGCCTCAATTGTTGCCTTTTCCCATGTTTATAGAAATCACCCGTTAGCGTTAGCTTCGGTCGTGGTCGACCCAAGAAATTGAAACATGCCCTAGTTGGCCTAGAAGATGGTGACCCAGTCCCAAAACCGATCAATAAATTAAATGAAAAATCAGAAATAGGTACTCCCGTCTCATAATTTACTTCCAACTTTCTATTTTCGTCTGTCTCAAAAAGAATTCTCTTTCCCCTTTTTGCAAAGAATTTGTGATTCACAGCAATTCTTATACATTTCTCTCTCCTCTGCACAACTCTTAACCACACAATTCCCACTTTCTTAATCCGTGTGTCATTTGTACTATGGAAGTAAATTCCGGGAAGGAGGGAGTAAAAATTCTGGGACGGAGGGAGTATTTAAATATGTAAATATGTTTTGAAAACAAGAATGAAATCCCTTTAGGAAAATTCTCAACTTGGGTGCCATGGTTTTAACATACAGAGTACATTACTTGTAGTAGTAATTTAAATAGACAGAAATAAGCACATATTGTCTAAGATATACTTCGTAAAATAGAGTCTTCAATTCAGAATCCCTACTTATATATAATTATATATCCAATTCCACGAGAAACACATCACTCAGAACCGACTTTGAACCCATAGCGGCATTAAGCAGCTCTAGCGCCTGTCATAATCACAGCAAACAAATTAGACTAGTCAATGCTCCCTATTGATAATTAATTCAATTTTTAATAAATAAAATTTATATATTCAGAAAGTATATTAAAATCTCTTCAAAGATGTAAACTTCAAATTATAATACTTTGTATGATTAAAAATTGACATCCTAATTAAGCAAATAAAATGAAAGTGTTTGATCAAAAAAGTCAAATTTGCGTATGAATTTGGGAAGGACGTAATAAATCATAGTGAAGAATGGATTAGATCGAACCAGTAAAGTGTTACTCATTACCCAATATGATAAGTACATGACTAGGGGTGTAAATGAGTCAAGCCGCTCGCGAGCCGCTCGTGGATCGCTCGGGAAGAGCTCGACTCGAGTTCGATCATATTAAGCTCGACTCGAGTTCGGCTCGACTCGAATAGTTAACAAGCTCATTTCAAGTCTATTCATTTTAGGCTCGTGGCTCGCGAGCCGGCTCGCAAGCCTGTGTCATATTTTATACGTAGTATATTTTATATATAATTATATACTTCGTATGTAATAATTATATATGTACTTTTTTGGAATATATATTCTAATTTAAGACTATTCCATTTTCAATCTTTTTCACGAAGTATACTATAATAGTAATAATTACAAAATAATAACATGTACGTAGTATTATTATTATAACCATAATATGTAATAATTATAATAGTAAAATAAAGAATAAAAATATCAGTAAATGAGAGATAAATTAAAAATCGAAGGCTTTGTCTGTCTCCGCAAAGATGACTTTCTTGGAATTTCTGTCAATAAAGAGCTTCAAACTCATCGTCCCCGACATGGCCGCATTCGATAAATCAAGAAACTAGCTGCTGGTACATTTCACATACATACCCGCGGCATGCCGCATATATACGAGTTAAGGGATAGCCCTAGGGGATGGCCGTCGATCTGGGCCAGAAAGAATAAAAGCCCGTTGAGTGTTACCGATTTTGTTGAATTTTATGAGCAAATTATATTTAAAATAAATTTTATTAATAAAATAAAGTAAAAGTTATATTAAAAATAGAAAAAAATAATCATCTACAGTATTTTCAGTCAATGAAACAAAAAATTAACGTTATCCTTACTTTTACTTATTATTACACTATTCACCGTGCAAATCAAAAGT